AATTATCCACTGTAACTAGAGTAAGAAGATATACCATTGTGATTGTGATTTGCATTTCCCTAATAATTAGTGATATTGAGCATTTTCCATATATTTGCTGGACAAATATCTCTTCAGATCATTTACCCACTTCCTAATCATATTGTGAGGTTTTTGCTATTGCATTCCATATATATTCTGTATATTAATATTTTGTCAGATGAATAATTTGCAAATATTGTCTCCCATTCGGCAGGTTGTCCGGTTACTCACTTATTCTTTGACTAAACATGAAAATCCTAACTTGCAATCAATCATAGGTCACCAGGAATGGTGCCATGTGTTGACAGCTGTGTATGATAGCTCTGGAGTTTCTGATAAACATGAATCCCTCAGTCATAGAGAAGTTTCTCATATTATATTCAGACCTTCATCAGGTACTAAGTCAATGAGCTTTCTAAAAGGGAGAGTTAAGTTCTGGATTTAGGGATAGTGGTAAATGGACCTTAATCCTGTCTTAGGTCACATTTGATTATGCCCAATGATGTATCATTTGTTATTTGTTTTCCTAATGAGTAAATAACAACTTCAAATCAGGAAAAAGTATGTAACATAATTTCATTTTAATTTAAATGAATTTTAAATTAAGAAATTTAAGAAATTTCAATAGCCAATCCTAACATCACACAATGCCCAAGCTCTTCTTTGCTGAAGAATTTTTGCCCATAGCTTATTCTTCAAGCAAAGTATTTGCCAGACACTGTGGGAAATCTATTCAACAACCACCAGCCTCACCTCAGCAATTCCTCCTGGCTGGCAGAGCTTCCTCTTATTATTAGGCCTACAAAAAGCAGAAAATCATGTTCTCATACAGTGAGGAAGTGGAATCAATCCTGGAGGAGGGAAACATGAGAATATATTTTTAAAAGTACCTCCTTGATAAAGAGATATGTGGGTAGAAACTCTCCCTCTTTCCTATCTGAGTTATCTGAAAGTATCTGAGAATATAATGCCCAGAGTTATGGCATCCCTCTTGAAACCAAAAGAGAATGGTAAGGACAAAAGCCACACTAATTGCAAATATTGTCTCCCATTAGGCAGGTTGGATGGCTGATGGAAAATTGGATAGAATATGTATTTTTTTTTAAATTGAGACAGGGTTTCCCTGTGTTACCCCAGCTGGTGCCAAACTCCTGAACTCAAGCAACTCTCCAGCCTCAGACTCCCTAGTAGCTAGGACTAACCACACCTGTCAGAATCTGCATCTTAATGTCATTGTCAAACCAATGAATTAAACAACCTGCACCTTGACCTCTTGTTAAGGAAAGGCCCTTTATATGTTCTTATGCATTTTTTTCTCCTGTTACTTGCAGCCAAAAGCAATAATCCAATGTAGGCATTAACTTCACTGTTGTTTTTATAAGCATCTTGGAAATTATGTGACTTGTCCCACTTTTGCTATAAAAGCAACTTTGATTTATGTCACTGTAACTCTGCTGTCTTTTCTGTAGTTGATAACATTGTCTGATTGTGGATGGGAACGCATCATGTTGCAGTTGTTTTAAGAAATCTTTGTAGCTTTACATCAGAGGTCATTTTGCTTTGTTTGAAAATGACACAAAAACTCTGATAGCTCTGTGCTACTATAATTTGACAAAGTTTCAGAAAGGAAAACAGACTGGGAACAAATACACACCAAAACGAAGAAAATCCAATTTTTAGATGGTACAATAGTTTCTAGATATATTTTAGTTTTTGACTCAAAAATCACTCATGCCAGATTTCATATATTTCTTTTTTTAATATTTATTTTTTAGTTGTAGCTGGACACAATATCTTTATTTTTATTTATGTGGTGCTGAGGATCAAACCCAAGGCCTCGCACATGCTAGGCAAGCGCTCTACCACTGAGCCACAACCCAGTCCCACATATATTTTTATTCTATGTGTGCATTGGACTCAAAGTCAATGCTGATTTTGATGACATTATTCTAAATTGTAGTAATTGTTATTTTTATTAAAAATTTCAGGGTTTTAATCCATTGGTTCATTTTTGTGATTTGGGGATATAATACAACACAATAGCACCCCCCAAAATGCAAATGTAATGGATATAAAAAATAACACATAATATTATATGAAATTTATGTCTTGTTGCCTGAATGTTAAACAAGAGCCCTTGCAGTCCTCGGAGCCCATGTGGAAGCTTTAAGAACAAGATTATCTTTAAAAAAAAAGAACACAATTATTAAGGGGGCAGCACTAGTTCTATTCAAATTGCCAGTTCCAAGTGTTTGAGATCTATGAGGATAAAATCATTTCTTGCTTTATTTTTTCTCCAAAATTTACTACTTAGGAGATCATCAATGGTTTTATGAAACACATTTGGGAAAACACAACTCTTGGCCAGGGGACATTGCACAATAATTGATCATTCTGGGGACTCAAAATTTCAAAATCCAAAGGAATTTTTGACCCTATTATGGTGAATGGAGGATATTTTTGGATGGAGGCAAACTTCCCTTCAGATCTTATGATCAACTGCCTCCTTGTTCTATTCCTATTTGAAACATATATGGCCCAAGTACCTTGGCGGTGGCAGCACCAGTAGGATCTCTTGAAAGCAGAGAATGGCTTGCCATGTTTTGATCCCCAACTAACTGCCAGGCACCATGGTGAGCTCTATGATGGAAAGGTGGCATGATAAAAGAATGACCTTTTGATTTTAACTCCTTTAGATATATATTGATTAGTGGTATAACCAGGTCCAATTTTTTTAAGGAACCCCATAACTGGTTTCCAGAGTGATTATACCAATTTGCAGTCCCGATAGCAATGAATGAGTGTAACTTTTTCCACACATCCTCACCAACATTTATTACTTAAATTAATGTTACTTGTATTCTGGTAACTTGTATCTTGATAATTGCCATTCTGACTGGAGTAAGATGAAACCTCAATGTAGTTTTAATTTGCTAATTGCTAGAGATGTTGAACATTTTTTCATATATTTGTTGACCATTTATATTTCTTTCTTTTGTGTGTGTGTGTGTGTGGTAGAAGATCTGACTGCTAGTGTCTTGACTATAGAGGGACTGTTTATATCTTTATTATTTATAGTCGTTGACCAATGTTCTCTGGATGATCAGGAAGCTCTTTGTGCCTCACCCTAATCACTGAAGTAATGAAAGGAGATACCTGCAGCAAGAACTGCAACTGCAAATGCTGCAGTCACACCTATGTTTTGCCGAATTTTCAACATTACTGTAGTTTTAATTGGTTGCTCTAGCTGTTTATCATCTTTGTGTTCCAATGAAGCTTCATTATTCATAGAGCTCATACAAGCTGTGTTGACTTCCTCTGCAATTTCCACATCTTCTATTTGAACATATGATCTAACATTTCTATAAAATGGTCTCTGATTTCTTCGGCTGATTCATCACCAAATTTATAATCACATAACTTTACAGTGGATCCAGGAATGGGGACAATGTAGAACACTTTTTCAGAATCTTTTTTTTTTTTTCTGGGATTTCATTCAAAAGCAGGTCCTCGAATAGTATTTCACAACGATCAGCAACTGTGTTCAATATATCTCTCTTCACTGCCTGCATAGCATCTTTAACCTTGGGTTTGCTGCTGTGAATATAAGCTCTGCATTTCACAGAACCCTTAAGGTTTACAGAACCACTGCAGATCTGAACTGTGGCTGTAGATCTGTGGTCTGAATTCAGAAGCAATTGTGTTAGCACTCTCACATCAAAAGAATGACTAGTTGCTTGAGTATTTCCTCTGAAAGATTTTTTCTGTCCTTCTAATAGATCACAATCTTCATCTTTAACTTGTCCATTAATCAAATAAACACCATTTTCTATTTGCTTGGCCCAGCATGTAAGTCCATTCTTTGTAATTTTTTCCAGAGTATAGCTGACAGAAGTAGAAGAAAGTAGAATGTGAATATCAATGTGAATGGGACAATCTAGAGAAAGCCATGAAGTAGACAGTCCACTTTGATACTTCCAATCGGCTGGTCTTGCTGAACTCTTTGGGTCATGGACATCATGACCCAAAATATCGACAAGATATTTTTTTTGTAGATGAGCAAATGTGAAGTATTACTCGTTCTGAGATCTCCTCCTCTGTGAAATTCCACATTCTTTTTCTATTCATACACTTTTCCATAGCAAATATTAGTCTGCGCAGGGCATTTTGAAAATCATTTGCCAGTTCCAAAGTTGTAATGATAAATACTCCAAGAACTAAAAGTCCCCCTGGATACCTGATTGGCATGTTCTGTGGCCCATTCTTCATCCAAATTATCCAACTTAGCTTTGGAATGTTTGAGGTTCTCATTTTGCTCTTCTTTGGGTGGTGTTCTGTCCTATCAAAAGACCGGAGACAAAAGCTTTTCCTTGGAGACTGATGTTTGAAAGATATTGGCCAACACTCTCTTCTACAATGTAGGTTCTTCCCATTTTTGAGAACTAATTCAACTCCTGTTCTCAGAATGCGTACACTGCCAGATAAATCTTCCGAACCGTCGGTGCACTGAGAAAAGGAGTGAAGTACATGAGCCCCAGCCTCCAGGGGCCAGAATACCCTCTGGTTCCAATTCCACAGCCAATGAATTCATCCGACCATTTATATTTCTTCCTTAGAGAAGTGTCTGTTTATTTCCTTTGCCCATTTATTGATTGGGTTATTTGGGTTTGTTATTGTTGTTGTATTTTTTTGGAGGGGTGTTAAGCTTTTTGAGTTCTTTGTATATCCTGGAAATTAATGCTGTATCTGAGGTGCAGGTGGCAAAATTTTTCTCCTATTCTGTAGGCTCTCTCTTCACACTTGATTATTTCCTTCACTGTGAAGAAGCATTTTAGGGGCTAGGGTTGTAGCCTGTCAGAGGTAGAGCACTTGCCTACCATGCGTGAAGCACTGGGTTCGATCCTCAGCACCACATAAAAATAAAATAAAGATATTATGTTCACCTATATCTAAAAAATAACTATTTTTTAAAAGAAGCATTTTAGTTTAATACCATCCCATTTATTGATTTTGGGGGAGAGAGGAAGAATTCATTGTATTAGACAAAGGGAATGAAGGGGAGGGAGGGGGGTAAAAATAGGAAAGACAGTGGAATGAATCTGACATAACTTTTTTATGTACATATATGAATACACTACAGTGAATCTCAGCATCACATACATCCACAAGACTGGGATCCTAACTAAAATAAGATGCATTCCATGTTTGTATAAATACATCAAAATAGATTTCTGCTGTCATATGTAACTAAAAAGAACAAATAGCAGAAGACTGTTCTTTTTAGTTACATATGTTCTTTTTAGTTACATTTAAAAATGTAACTAAATGACCTTTTGGGGAGAAGCAAGTTCCTGATATGGAAGTAAGAGTGTTATTGAATCATTAACCATATGCAATCAGTATGCTTTGCAACACATGCTAAGATTGGTGAGAAACACTTGTGTATTGGTTCACTCCAGTGACCTCTCCAGATGGAAGAGAAGCCAGTGAGGGCTGCCATTTCTCTGTTCTTGCCTCCTCCCACCAAGTCTTTCTCCACAGCTCCATCAGCTTCCATTAGCAGCAGTCAAGAGAACAGAGTGAGTAGAGTAAGAGGTCAGGTTATCTATCCTCAATATAGGGACGGTCCTAATCCCCATTCTGGTTAACTGTCTTGGCCTGACTCCAGGTCTCAGGGCTGGCCAGAGTCCACCATGGTAAAGGGACCCATGGGCATTAATGTCCAAGACTTACTCCATAAAAGGCCTGAACTTTAGACTTTTAACATATTTTCCATTAAAGGTACATACATCTTTTTGTGCATGTTTTAATTTACTAATGCAAACATTTAAAACACACTTTTAAAAAATGTTCTGGCATATCTTCATTTATTATATTGGGGGCCTCAAAAAGTGGAAGTGGCTTAGGCCTCTTTGGACCTGGAACTGGTTGAGCTTCAGTAGCACTGGGGCAGAATCCCTCCTGAGAGGATACCCTCCCTCCCAGTTAGCAATGCTGACCAATGCCAGAAGCCAGCTTTATGAATTCCAGTGTACAGTCATTTCATTCCCAATTCAGTTTGAGAAATCTGGACTGAAATTCCCAAAACAAAGCTAGGAACTGACATGACAGTAATTTACTAAGAATGGGGATGACAAGGAGACACAGAGCATCTCATGCTGTGTGCTATGAAGCCCACCTTCTAGAAATGGAATGGGATGTCTAACACCAAAATGAGAGTTCAGACATTATCCTAAAAGTAACGGGAGCCACTGACGATGGATGAGAATGAGTGACTCATTTAGTTCTGTATTTTAGAAAGATCACTGGTGGCTAGCGGAGGGAGGGAGACTGGAACCTGAGACTATAGTCCATGGGTTTCTGGGTAGAAATTCCAAGCCCTCTAGATCATGACAGAGACCCAGTCCTCAGGGTTTCCAGCTGGAGCCTTGACAAGATGAATAAAACTTCCCAGACAAGACACTCTGGGTAGACATATTGCATTTTCCCAAAAAGTGAAAGCAGCCTGATCCCAGCCTCCTTCGTGTGGAATGTTCTTTCCCCTTAGGCCCAACACAGGTGAGAGTAAGAGGAACTAGAAAACCTATCGGGGAGAATAGTTCCAAAGGAGAACAGGAAGTCATTTTTCACTGAGCATCTTGGGGGTCTAATGTTCCATTTTCTGGGACAAGCTGTCCATTTGCTTCCTCCATCATTTCCTTATATTGACGTTTGAAGAAGCCAACCTGTGGAGAAGATCAGGAAGTCCAGTAAGAGAAAGGAAAAGTGGTGAAATGGGGAAGAGGAAGAGATCACCATTTGTAGAACTCCTACTATGTTCAAAGCACAGCATAAGGAGCTTTGTACTCATTATCATTTAGAATTAGATCCAGATTCTGTCAGCCATAAGTACAATCAGCTTCACAATGAGAAAAGTAAAGACTTACAGTGGACTAGGCACTTTCCTACAGTCAAAGAAATAATTAATGGTGGTATCAACATTCAAATCCAAGTATTCATGGCTTTATGTTATGTTCTGCTGCAAAGGGAAAGACTAGAAAGGTAAAGGAGCAGAAAAGAAAGGGAGAGATGAGATGATATCTGAGAATCAGGAAGATACAAATGGGGGGGGGCGAAATTGGTGACTGATAATATGAGGGGAGGGAATTTCTCATATGAACCGACTTAATGAGAATGCACATCCAACTCCAAAATGAGCTCTTTCTTACCCTCATGGCTAGAGTGGGTTTAAACTTGCCTTATACAATGTGGCAGTGATGAGAGCCAGTAGCAGCAGACCTCCCACACAGCTGCCCACAATGAGGGGGATAGGGTCATAGACCTCATTCTTCTCCAGCACTGTCTTCATCTGGAGTAGAGGTGACCCATCAGAAAGTATTGGGCCTCATGCAATCTCAGAAACCCCCAACCCCAACCCAGTTTTCCTGGCTTTAGATCCCTCCCCTCCTTCCCTAGGCCCTGCTCTAAGAGGTGAGATGCAGGAACACTCAAACTCTTCAGGGCAACTGTTTTGCCCAGGGACCTTCCTCCCTCCTCCCTCTAAGCTTGCAAACCCCCCACCCAGCAGCACAGATTTAGTATCAGGAGCCTCTTACCAGCCTGGCCACTGCCTACCCCACAGTCACTACCTGGGCTCTCAAAAATGCCTCCTGTCCTGGAAGCTGGGCATACACAGATCTGTCAAATGTGATTTCAGCCACACTCATGACCGACAGCTTCTTCTGCAATGTCTGCAAGACAGTGTTAGGGTGAGGGGATCTGGAGAGGGAAGCTCAGAGTTCAGAAAATGATCTGGCCTAAGGCATGGTACAGACCCATCAGGTACCATGTGAATCTGAGGGAAGGGGCCTACACACCTGGCTGACCCAGCCAAAGCTGAGGTTGCCCTTCAGGATGAAGTCAAGCTCCTCCTGGATGCCGAAGGAGGGGATGTCACAGCGGAACCTCAGGCAGCCAGCAATGGAACAGTCCTAGGTAGAGAGACATAGTATCAGGCCATAGGAAGGTGAGTTTGAAGGTAGAGGACAGACTTAAACCACATGATTAGAGGGAAACATCCACATCTGAATCTGATGTAACAGGATTCCTGAATTAAATTCCTCTGATATGTGGCTAAAGTGGCGAATAGCCCAGAGCCCACCTCACCAGCACAGGATTCTTATGAATATGAGTCAGGAAGTCAGACTCTGTGGGAACTAGTCTCTCCGAAGAGCACTGAATGGATGGGTTCTGGGAGAAAACATGAAAAAAAGTCTCAGTTGGGACATTGGCAGCTCATGAGGAAAATAGGTAATCCAGGTAAGGGATATTAATGGAGGAACCAAACACAGTCTTTGGGTACCTGAAGGGGAGAGACCTCCACCTCTGTCCACACAGCCACTCCATTCAGATTCACAGGCACGCAGAAGTCAATGCTGACAGGCAGGTCCCTTTGTCCCAGGTTATTCACCTGCACAGAAGGCAGTGAGGGCAGAGCCCATGCCAGATTCTCATCCCTCCTGGCTCTCCAGTTCCAGGGCTCCTTCTCTAGACCAACCTCCTTTGTCTCCACCACTTGCCTGGTATCTGTGCTTGGCCACACTGCCTCCCTTCTCCTCTGAAGCTGAGAAGTTGAGGTACTTGGTGGATTGGTCGTGGCTGGAGAAAGAAAAGGCATGAGTGAATTTGAAGACCCATGGTGGTCTTCTGAGGAGGCTGTGAATCTGGCATGATGAAAGAGGTGGTCAGTGGGGCCTCAGCATAACTTGGAATGAGATCTGAGTTGGGATAAAGGATGGTTTCGAGAGTAGGGCCAAGCTTTGACATGGGTGTAAAGTACTTGCAGGAGTTGCCCACAGAGGAGATTTCTCAGGGCACTGAGCAGGGTGGCAGTGAAAAGAACAGTTATGCCACTAGCTTCTGGGAGGGTGGGAGCCAGAGCCTGCCCCTCTCTGCACCACAGTTCTCCTTTCAGTTCTTCATGAGCATATAGGATGCTGGTGGGCATATAGGACACAGCAAAGATTGGGGGAGACTCAAGCTGACCCTGCCAGCCATGTGCCTACTAAGCACTGTGCCCCTTTCTGAAGTCCCACAGGCCTTCCCTAGGGCCCTTCTCTCCTGTTTCCTTGGCTTTTCCTGAACTGGGGCTTGCGGTGAGGGGTCCCAACAACAGACTCTTCAAGGGTTCTCACTGTCACAATACTTCCTAAGGTCTACTTGAGCCTAAGCCAAGAGATGCATTGGCCAGGATGATGGCTGGTCTCACCTCTGACCCTCACTGCTCCATTCCTTGGGTACCTCTCCTTTGCCTGCATAGTCCAAATTCCAGCCCACTATTCCTAATTTAAGTTTCATTCTTCTTTTGCAAGAAATGTTTCAGACTGGGCCTGGGGCCCCCTTTGAGGGTCCCCACCCACAGAGCCACATCTGCAGAGTGTGGCTGAGCTGTAGGGTCACACATAATGATAGTGTACCCCACCTATGGGTCCCCTGAAAGAAGGTGTGAGAACCCCAGTATACACCCCAGCAAACGAGTTCACAGCATGCATCTGGCTGGGATCCCCCAAACTTGCAGGTGCAAATGAGAAAGTGAAACTCTAAACAGGAAGAGATCAGTTAGTGAGGCATGTCCCATAAGAGCAGAGGCTTATATTTAGCTTTGATGATGCATATGAGCTCAATAGATTATTGTTGAAGGTCAAATGAATTTATAGAAAGTAACCACAGCACTGTGCCTGCCACATAGCAAACACTAGGAAGGCATTTGTTGAAGGAAGTTATCTGCTTAAAAACTGGCTACTTCTTAGTTTTAAACACCTCATCTAATCCCCTTGAGCAGCATTTTAAGGCCCTATCCTTTTATCCAACTTCTTCCTGACATCCAATCTCTGTAGCAGGCAGATCATCTATCCTTATTCTTACCAGGAGGGCAAAGGGGGAGGGGATTCTAAAGTCCTATGGTATAAATCTGCTCTGTGAAAAGAAGTGTCCTGCCCAAATGCCAAGAGCCCCTTTCAGAATCACTGTTGGTCAAGACCAAGGCTGTAGACCCTTCAAAATTTATCTGAGACCACCTCTTACAGGAGGCCCTAGTCTCCCCTTGGAAACTCACTACTGTGGTTTGGATATTGAATGTCTGCCAAAGGCCCATGTGGCACTTCTGGGAGGTGGTAGAGCCTTTAGGAGGTGGGTGTGGCCTAATGAAAGGTCTTTAGGTCATTTGGGGCCTGCTCCTAAAGGGAACTGTGATACCATAGTATCTTTCTTTTCTGCCATGAGGTGAGCATTTCTGCCATGATGTGATACCTCATCACAGGCCCAAAGCAACAGGGCCACCTGATCATGAACTAGAACCTCCAAAACTGTAAGACAAAATTAATCTTTTATATTTAAGTTGATTATCTCAGGTGTTTGTTATATTGAGGAAAGACTGACTAACACACCTATATCATCTTAGGGTACAGAACCATAGAGCAGCCCTTGATGAGATTCTGGCTTGGATCAGGGTAACATTGCTACTCAATAAGGTTGTAAAAAACCTCAAAGTCAGGGACTTGTCTCATATATCCTAGGAAACCCAAGAGAATCTTTTTAAAAAATCTCTTTTTTGGTATTATTTTATTTTTTTTATTTTTCCTACATTTTCATTGGCGCATTATAATTATACATAATAGTGGGGATCATTATGACATGCACACAAATCATTATTACATGCACCCAAGAAACAATCTTGAGGATTTTTGGAAAGTGTTCTGAGACTTATAAGCTCTGTTAAATTATTAAATGCAGGATATAATATCATATCTATCCCACAATAAACAACCATTGATTAATAAGCACTACTAGAAGATTTACCTAGCACTTGAAAGGATAATGATAAAACCTAAAATAACCCAGACGTTCACCTGCTGCTGAGGTGAAAACCACTTCCTTCTCCCAATTAGGAAGATGGAGAAGAACCCTTTTGAGGTCTCAGTGGGGTACCTGCTGATCACAGGGTAGACAGCATACTTCACCGGGAGCTCCAGCTGGAAGGTGGTCTTGCTGGTCCTGGGGGAGTTATTCTCACTGGAAAAAGATGAAATGCCAGTTTCCAAAGGCCCCAGAGGAGGAGGATGGGATGTGAGGCTGGGGGTGAGAAGGGTGCTGCCCCTGGGCCTAGCCCGTCTCACCTGCTCACATTGGCTGTCAGAAGCAGCCTGTCTCCCAGCACAGCTTTGGGGGAGACATCAAAGGTAGCCAAGAAGGTGATCTGAGAAAGAGAAAGGAATAGGGAGGTCACAAAGGAGTAAAGCCTGGTGGAGGCAGGGGAGGAGGGGGTGTGCAGAAGCCAGGCTGACCTTAGTGCCCCCGCGGAAGATGAGGTGGTGGATGCTGCAGCTGGTTCTCCAGGTACCCTGGCTCCCTGCTGGGGTGCTGTCACATGTCCAGTGCACAGGGCGCAGCTTCAGCTGATTTCAGAAAAAGGTAGGCAGGAAGGAAAAAAAAAACCAGATGCTTATTTATTAGAATTTCAAAGAGACTCTAATGTAGGGACAAGGCAGGGTATTGTTTTCAAAGATTTCAGCAAAAGAAAAAAATACACAAAACAAAATGAGCAATCTACCTTCATGTTATCCCCTACACTCTATCTGCAAACTTCCTCCTAGGGTAGAAATCTCTAATTATTAGAATTTTCCTTTTTTATTTATTGTCATTTCTAAAGGTACTTGTTTTATTCAGCTATCTTCACCTTCTTTTCCTGAATAATTTATTTTTTAATAGAACATTAAAATTATATGTAGTATTTGGGTTCATTGTGATAAAATCATGCATGCAAGGAATTTGATTTTAATTCCCTTTGCCCCTCTTAGTCCTCCCAATATTCTCCCTCTTCTGCTTTACTAAACTTCCTTTGGTGAAATTCCCTTTGTACCTTCATATATGAATACAACATGATTTTGATAAATTCATTCCATTTATTCTTTTTCTGAATAATTTAAAGCATATTCCAGACTTCATATGGTTTTATCCAGCTTTACTTCAGTGTCTACCACAAGTAGATACCTCACCACAAGCCCAAAGCAACAGGGCCACATAACCACAAGCCCCAATAAACCACACCCAGAAAAATTAACAGTAACTACTTAATATGAACTTCACGTTCCATTTTCTTGGACAGTCTCCAGGTATTTTTCACTACTCATTTGCTAAAATCAATACATAACAAGGTCTACACATTGCCTTTGGTTGATATGTCTAGAAACACTTTCAGTGACAGGACAATATGGGAAGAGCCCTCCCTAAGTGAACAAAGTGATTTGCATTCCATCTTTCTCAGGTCAAATACTGCTTTCCTTTAAGTTCTCTAAAATGCCATTTCAGGAAATCATGTTTTCTGTTCTGTAAAATGACTCAGGTAAAAGAGGTCTTTTGTTGTCATTGGCATTAAAAATAAATTCAGGATAAAATAACTTGGAACCAGTTAAAAAAAAAGTATGATCCTATTGGAAATGTTAGACTAAGGAAACATAGCAAACATGACAAACAAATTTAATGTGCAGACCTAGTTTAGATCCTTGTTCAAATAAACCAGGCACAAAAAGACATTTTTGAGACCATCAGGGAACTTTGACTATGGTCTAAATACCAAGGACTCATTCATTTTTTTGAGTGAGATAATGGCTTTCGGGTCATGTAAGATGTCCCCATTTTTCAGAACTACAGACTAAAATAAGAACTCAACGTCTGGGATTTATTTTAAAATATTTTCAGCAAAAGAAAACAAAAAATGAAACAAATTGAGCAAAATATTGATAATTATTGAATCTAGGTGATAAGTTTTTAGGAAACTTATTGAACTATTCACTGCTTTGGAAATGTTTAAATTTTCTCATAATAATTGTTTTTTGAAACAAAAATCTGTTTCTCTTTGACTCCCTATAGCCATAGTTCTGTTTTCTAGAAGAGAGAATGGCAAACAGTAGCCCACCACCTATTTTTATAAATAAAATTTTATTGGATCCTAGCTTTGCTCATTCATATACATATTCTTATCAATGTCTGCTCTCATTCTACAGCTGTGGAATTGAGTGGTTGGGACAGAAAATGTTTGGTCCACAAAACTGAAATATTTCTTATCTAGTCCTTTAATAGCAATACTTTGAATTGGTAATTCAATTCAAAGTAATTCAAAGTAATCAAGAAATTCTTTCTTCTACAGAACCATGTTTTAAAATACTTGAGGGTTGAGATAGGTTTTCCTTTAAATGAGGATATGGTAAGGCATAAAAGAAATTTAAAGCAGGCTACCCTCTCTCCATACTAGTAGCCTCCTAGGAACTTATTTCTGATAGTCAGGGTCTTAAAAATGCAATGTTCAACTGGGCATGGTGGTACATGCCTGTGATCCCAGCAGCTCAGGAGGCTGAGGCAGGAGGATCACAAGTTCAAAGCCAGCCTCAGCAACTTAGTGAGGCTCTAAGCAACTTAACAAGAGTCTGTCTCAAAATAAAAAAAAATAAAAAGGGCTGGGGATGTGGCTCAGTGGTTAAGTCCCTCTGGGTTCAATCCCCAGTACCCCCACCAAAAAATAACCAAAGTCAAATATAGCAGGCATGAACAGGGACAAACCCCAAACAGCACAACTATATCCATCTAACCAAGATCAGCCCAGATCTCTTGGACCAGTAGAGGCTGCTAAGCAGTGGCCAACCAGCCTGAGTGTTGAACCTAGAACAGGTATATCCTGATTCCCAGCCTCTTCCATCCCCAGAAAGAATACCTGGCCCCCTGACACACGTCGATAGGACAGCCCTGTTGGGTAGAAGAAGGTGACTGTGGTTCCATAGGAATCTTCACCGTCATTTGACACTGTTACTTCTGCGTTCAGCTCCAGGTTACTTCCCACCACCAAGGTCTTCATGCTAGGTTATTGGGGTAGAAGGAGGAGATGACTCTGTGACTGAGGCTAGAAATGTTCTGGGGATAAAATGTGGGGTAGGAGGATGGAAAGTAGACAGGTAACAAGTTCTTAATCCCAGGTGGGAACTTTAGGGAGCCAGAGACAGGAGTCCCAGGTTGTGGGAGTGAGGCTGGGGCCCAGGGTCAGGCCCAAGCAGGTGGAAGCTCACCCTGAGAAGTCAAAGGTGATGCCAAGGTCATCCTGGCAGATGTGGTCAGCCCCACAGTTCTTCTCAAAGGGGAGCTGAGAGAAAGACAACACAGGATTTTCCAGAGACCCAGAGGCCATCCTGTGTTATCCCTCTGGGAGACCCCAACACCAGGGCTCACCGAAGCTGTGAAGTATGTCTGAGCATCTGCAGCCAGAATAGGCCGGAGGTCTCTGAAGGAAGGGATGGGCTTGCCCTCCAGAGAGAAGTTGAGACGCAAGATGATGGGAGTCAATGAGTCCTCCACACAGGACTAGAGGACATTGAGGGTGTTAAAGAAAATACTGTGCAAAGTTACTAAGTGCATCTGTAAAAGGAGTAATAATGAGAGCTATCTGCACTCAGTATGTATTTGTTGCTATTATCCCCACCATGCAGAATCTTTGCCCAATATTCATACATGGCTCCCTTGATTTGCTCAATGTCTTCTCAAACTACACTCCTCCAAGAGGCCTCCCTGACATCCTCCTGATTTTGTCTTTCTTCCTAGTAGTTTTCACAACCTGACACCTATTATCTGGAAACTTATTTGGTTTGGAATTCCCCCCACCCCACCCAGAACCTCCTGTGAGCAATAGCTGCTTTGTTCCCTGCTGTGTCCCCCTAGGACAGGGCCTGTCTCAGAGAAGCAAAGCCATAAATAAGTGCCCACTGGATGCCTGAAAGTCAGCCTGAAGGAAGCTCCTGAGTTCTCTCAGCAGCCCTTTTCTCTTTCCTGAAATCCAATTGTGTAACCTCTCGCAGTTGCAGCCCATCTTGTTCATTCCTTCACTCATTTAGTTAACATGTTTGAAGCACCATCTGCATGCTAGATTCTATGCCCCTTTCTTTATCTGACCAGCCTGCTGCCAGCCTCCAAATGGCCTCTACCCACATCTCTCCCTGCATCCATCTGAGGACCCCTCACCGGAAGGAGCAACTTCATAGGTTCACAGTACTTGTTCAGTCCAAGGTCTTTGACTCTAGTAAGGGTCCTGGTATTTGTCTCTTTGAAGACAGCACGGGGACTCAAGTGACCGGGGTCAAGGGCTAAGTCAATGGTCACAGAGCTTTGGAGGTTATCTGTAGGGAAAGCAGGGCATGCAGAGGGCTGAGTGGACCAGAAACTCCCCAGGTGGGTAAAGGTCAGGCAGGAGACAGGAGTCCTAGGCAGGAGAACTCCAGAGGTCAGGGTGTTCTGGGTAAGAGGGGGAGAGGACTCACTTTGTTGGTCCTTGGGAGTTCCATAAATATCAAGACAGATAGTAGCATCACCCAGTTCCTGGACAGAGGAGTCCTGCTCGTGACACTCAAACACAGACCTGGTGATCTCTGCAGGTGTGAAGTGTATGGTCACCCACACTCTGAGAACAGGTCTGGTCCTGTGGGCAGAACATCAAGCTGAGAACAGGTCCTTGGCTCCTAGGAGCACAACCTGCAATGGGGGGCGGGGTGCAGGGATCCGATCTGGACCTAGGACCACATGGGGAATATCTGAGGAAGGAATCTTTTCTTACCTGAGCAGCAGCACTTGTCCCTGGGACCCTACAGCCAGGTCCACCAGTCCATCCATAGTGAGGTCCTGACCCCCACTCAGTGACTGCCCAAAATACTGGAGTGTGGAGGAGAACTGAGAGCCTGCAATTCTCTATTTAGAAGAGAAGGTGAGTCAGGAGGAGACAGTATGGATTTGATTGGTCCTCCAAGGGTTCCTTTATTAGAGGCTTGGTCCTTGGTGCAGCAGACCCTTTAATAGGTGGAGGCTAGTGGAAAGTAATTGGGTCTTTGGGGCATTGCCCCCTCAAAGCATTAAGTAGTTCTTATGTGGGCCCAGTTAGTTCCCTAGAGAATTGTTATAAAAGAACAAGACCATCCCCTCTCCTTATTCTCTCTGACATCTTGTCTTGCCATGTAATCCCAACTTCTCACATGTGTTCCCACCATGACACCATCTGCCATGATGTGATGAAGCCAAGGGCCTTTTTTTTAATACATTATTCAGCCTCATATATTTTGTTATAGCAACTGAAAATGGAGTGAAATGGGGTAATAGGACAAGTTGGAAATTAGCAACAAAAAAAAATAAGAGGTATGAATGTGAAAGAGAAAGGGTGAGTTGTGAAAAGAGGTCACCAAGAAGGGCCTAAAAAGAAGAGGTTATAGTGGGAAAATTATGACTGAAGAAAAGAAACAATTCCTAAGAAGTAAAGAAGTGGAGATTAGAAGGCTATGCTGTTGACCTGAGTTTCATTCATTCATTCATTCATTCAGTTAGTCCCTGGTTCCAATTCTAACTTCTCCACAAATATTTATGTACCTCAGTTTCCCCCATCTTCTACAGGAAATAGTAATACTTCCAAGTTTAACTATAAGCATAGATGAATTTATTCATATAGCTTTTAGAACAGCACGTAGAGTATGGTCAATAAATAGTCAGTGACTTTTTGATGAATCTCAAGGTTAAAAGTGACCACAGAATCCATCTAGTCTCACCTTTCATTTCACAAATAAAAGAGAGAGGTTGGGGGATTGTGCCAAATTCCCACGACCTTTTGGAGGCTGATTCCAGACCTCAGACTGTCTGCCTCCAAGCCCAAGGCACCTTTTGCTATCTCTTCAAAGAACAGGAGAGGCCGAGTTGGGATGCGGGTGGCCACAACCAACCCAGATTCTACCTGCCTGGGCATTACTCCTGTGGGTTCTTTTCCCTTTATTTCCATTACTGTTGTAATGCCCAATCCTAATCCCCTTAAATCTCTCGCACTGTGAGGACTAGCAGAATAATAATTATTAAGAAAAATAATGAAATAAAAAGAGAAACTTACCAATTACTAAGGATGGCAAGGCTAGTGGGGTAGAAACAGCACAATCAAGTCAATGCTCAGGGCCTCAACTCTCAGAAAAGCTGACCCCAGTGCTGTGTCCTCAGGGTTAGTGTAGGAGCCAGCAGAGAACAAGGCAAGGCCAGTCCAATCAAGTGTGTGATGAGACAAGTGATGGAGTGGAAGGAAGGGGAAATCCTGGTGGGTCAGTGAATTCAGAAAGGCTTCCTCTTGGAGTCAAGCCTTTCAGGTAGAACCCAGGTGATATTTGTAATCAAGGATCTACCCAGATATACCTCTGAGCAAGCGGAAGTTAAACAAATTAGTGTGGACTGAATGCAGTTTCTGGTTATTCTCCAAAAGGTCTTTCACCCTCTTCTTTAGACCCCTCTTCTTGAACCTATATTAATAGTAGTTACAACATTAACTGATTATAAGAGTATAACACCTTTTATGAGCCCTCCATCATGCTCACCCTCATAGCAGCAGCCATATGAGGTTGATTCTCTTATGATCACCATTTTACAAAGAGAAACTGAGCACAGAGAGGTGAGTAACCTGACCAATATATAGATATTAGTAGAACTACAGGGACCATCCTTGATACCTTTTTTGTGCTACTTTCTGTCTCTCTGTATTTGCCTATTCTGTTCATTTTATGTAAATGTAATCATGTAATATATAGTCCTCTGTGACTGCCTTCTTTCACTAAATATAATGTTTTCAAGATTCATCATGTTGTAGCATGTGTCAGTACCTTGTTACTTTTATGGCTGAATAATATTCTATCTAGTGGGCATACCACATTTTATTTATCCATTCATCTGCAGATAGACATTTGGATTGTTTCCATCTTTGGGCTATTATGAACAATGCTGCAAAGAACATTCTCATGTACAAGTTTTTGTGTGGATTTCTTCCAGTAGTGGATTTTTTGAGTCATCGAGCAACTCTAACATTTCTGAGAAACTGTCAGACTATTTTGCAAAGCAGCTGCACCACTTTACATTACCACCAGCAGTGAATGAGGGCACCAATTTCTCCACATCCTCACCAATTGACCTTCTTGATTCTAGTCATTCTCATGGGTATGAAGTTGTACCTCGCTGTGGTTTTGATTTGCTGATGCCTGATGACTAATGATGTGAATATGTGCTTATTGGCCACCGCCCTCTTTTTTTTTTTTTTCAAGTCTTCTTTGGTGAAACATCTACCCAGATCCTTCACCTGTTTTTTAATTTGGGCTTTCTTGATTTTTTTTGCCAAGGAAATCAGCTTTCTCTTCTCAGGGAATTCTTGCTCCACTGGGTGAAAGGTTCCTGCCTATATGGGCATTTGGTAGGATCACTGATGGCAGGAATGGAATAAAATCAGACAGCATCCAGTGAGATGGAGGGGTGAGTGGACAGGCTGACTGAGGCAGCTACATGAGCACCAAGGAGCCACTGAAAGGCTGAGAACTAGGCTAGAAGTCGGAAGACCCAAACCAACCTAATGGTCATTCCTGGTCCACCATGAACTTTGGACAAGTCAAGTCACATCTGTAAAATGGGTTTGCTAAACTAAGAAAGTCAAGGGTTGTATGTTTTATCTCATATGTGGAAGCTAGAAAGAAAAAGGAGGAAACAAGGTAGAGGGGGATCTCACGAAAATATAAGGGAGAGCAGTGGAGTAGAGGAAAGGAACCGGGAGAAGGAGGAGGAAAAAGAAAGAGAAGGTCCTCGGGAATTAAAGGGACCCAATTATCCTGCTCTAGTGTGTGCATGCATGAACATGTAACACGAATCCCACTGCTATGCATAATCATAATGCATGAATAAAAAGGTTAAAAAAGAAGAAGAAAGAATATGGGTTTGCTAATGCCTAGTCTGGTAAAGCTTCTGTGGGATTAAAAGTCCTGAGTTGCAAATTACACAAGCATCCAGTCTCCATACAAAGCAGGGTGTGCAGCAGTGAGTGTTCCCATGCCTCAATTCTTCGGGTTTTACTCACTTCCACAATATGCCCAGTACTATGGCAGGGAGGAAAATGTACTAAAGGGGGACATTTTTCCAGTTGATATTGTGAAAGGAGGAGAAGCAAAGAGGAAGCTGTCACAGTGACAGGAAAAATAGTGCTTCACCTGGCTGTGGGAGGGACTGATGTCCAGTCCTGAGGTTCCATGAAATAAGTAAACAGCACCCTGGTTCTCCTCCTCTCCAGGGGCCCCAACGGCCACATCTGTCAGATAGTCCCCATTAACATCTCCCAGCACTGTCAGAGCTGCTCCAAAGCGACCCCAGGGATGGCCCCGCTCTCCACGGAGAATGATCGCACACTGCCATCTGCTCCTCTACAGAACAAAAAAACCAGTGCCAGGTCCAATCCAGGCAATCCACACCTCACACCCGGGCCCCACCCAGCCCAGGTCCAATCACCACTCACCCCCCTGGGCATGGGGCACACGGACACCTGCCCTCCTCCTCGGGTCTGCTCGTAGTAATGGGGGGCCCCAATTAGGACCACATCGGTGCTGCCATCGCTGTCCACATCCACAGAGCAGAGGGAGGCCCCAAAATAGGAGCCGACCTGGGAGGAGAGTCTGAAGTCATCTTGCCTGCCCCTGCCAGAGGCACCTCCTTTCTGGGCCAGGTCCTGCCTCTCCCCAGGTACCAGGACCTGCCCTATCAGCTCCCTGCCCCTAGCCACCCTGCCCGCCCTCATGTTCCACCAACAGGGGCCCTCCACACCAACCTGGGTCCCTGTGACTTCAGCCTTTGGCCTCCATTGCCTGGATATCTGGGTGAAGATGACAACCTTCCCAGTGTGCTGGTGGCGAGGGGCCCCCAAGATAAGGCTGTGCACCCCTTTCCAAAGGGCCAGCTCACTGGAGTAACCTGAGGAGGCCCAGAGTCAGCACTAAGGCTTCTCCTCCCCTTCCCACAGCTTGTCACCCACCTGTCCCCCACCACAGCCTTTTCTCACCCAGGTAAGAGTCCCTCATGTCCACATTCTCCTGAGACATGTTGATGAAGGTGGGGTTCATATGTGGCGGGTACAGGAAGGCACCTCCAGACCAGCTAAAGCTCCCCACAGTCCCCAGAACTGGTCCATCCTGGGAGGAAAAGATTCCAGGGCTGAGCAGAACAAAGCAAGAGGGCAGCCTAAGCCAAACAAAGTCTGCCATTGGCTCTACACAACCATCCACTCCTCCTCTGCCTTCCCTCCTCCCAATCTTCCTCATCCTTCTTTGTCAGCCTGAAGGGACCCCACTCACAGGTGTGAACACAGCGCTGAAGCCCTCCTGGGACATTTCCATTTCGAAAGAGCTACTGCTTATGGTCTCTGTACCTGGGGAAGGCATGATGTTTGGATTTCAGGGAGAAATTCAGCCTTTCCAAGTCCAGGAAGGATTCTTAGGAGAATCTAAGATTGGAAATCAACACCTACAACAAGGGTTATTGCCCATGACATGGGGATCTAGATTCAAAAAGGAAAAGAGGCTGGGAATATAGCTCAATTGATAAAGTGCTTGCTTTGTATGCATAAGGCCCTGGGTTCAATCCCCAGTACAAAAAAAAAGGAGGAAGGAAGGAAAAGCCCTTGTGGATGAGGATTTCTGAAGCAAGTAGCTCTATCTCTGACTTACCTTCAATGGCAAAGATCTTCTCCTGGAGCTGGTTTTGAATATCCTTCAAAGCATCAAAGTTCTCCACTTTAAATATGTATTCATGAGCAGGCCTCGATGCAATGTCATTTAATTCTTTCCAGGAATTAATCATTTGAAAAGCCTCTCCAACCTGTCCAGAGAAAAGACCAACTCCATGAAAATAAGAAATACAATATGCCTGTATGTCTGGGTGTTGATCTCTTCCAAGAACACTGCACGTCAGGCTTATAGCACAGGTGAGAAAAATAAGGCTCAGATAGCATCAAAAGATTTGAGGGAAAGGATCATGAGTCCCCAAGCTGAGTTTTAATCCAGAAGGCAGTAGAATCTCTACCCTTGAAAGGGAAGTTGCCTGCCGGGGAGTAGTAGTAGGTAGCATCTCTATGCCCTACCCCAATTGCATAACGGATGATGCCTGCCGCCTCAGCCATGGGAATGACATCCTTATAATCCAGGTAGTCCCCTTGCTTCTGCCCATCAGTGATGACAATCAGGATCTTGGTGGCATCCTTGCGGGCCCCACTTTGGGTGGTGAACAGTATGTTTCTGTCAGGAAAGAAGAGGGTCCAGAGGCCTGTGAACAGAACTACAGCAGCCTTTGATGGCTTTGTAAAAAGGAGGCCATGCCCCTTGCAGTCCCACTCAAGAGTCCCCAACTTGGCAAGGGGGTCCCAGGCTAGATTTTCAGTCTCTGCCTGGCCCTTTCTTGAGAAGGCAGATGAGGCTCAAAGGAAGACCTGGATGCTTTGGGAAAGGAAGTAGGAGAAGTCTGGACTCACATGACCTTTTGGATGGCTGTGGCCGTGTGAGTGTACCCTTTCAGCTGGTGTACAGAATCCAACAGTGTTAGAGGGTCTGAACTGGAGATGAATTTGTTGAAATTGAAGTGTACCAAGAATTTGCTGGAGAACTGCATCAGAGAGAACTGGGAGAACCATATAGAGCTGGGGTATGAGACTGCTTCACCAGGTCCCCAGACTTTCCCCAGCAAGCCTGCCCCAAGCAGTGCCCAGCAGACTTGCACCCCTCTCCCAAGAGCTCACCTGGGTGTTGGGTCTCTGGAACTGGCTCATCACAGCCTTCACGAATCTTATCATTGTGGCAAAATTTGTGTTGGAGATGCTGCCTGAGCCATCAATCAGGAACACGATATCCTGATTCTGCCTTGGGCATTCTAGGGAAGGAGGTGGCCCTGGTCCTCCAGTGGATTCTCCAAAGAACCCATGACCTTAGCTTTCTGGTCACAAGAACTCAGTTTCCCAACACCTTCCCCCTCACTCCAGTCTGACAATCAGAGTTCAGCCCCCACACCCTGGTCCTCTCCTTGTTAGAAAGTGGAGGGGGGTCTGGGATTGTGGCTCAGTGGTAGAGAGCTAGCCTCCCATGTGCGGGGCCCTGGGTTCAAAACTCAGCACCACATAAAAATAAAAAATAAAGATATTGTGTCTACCTAAAAAACTAAAAAATAAATATAATAAATGGAGCACTTGAGTTTCCTAAGGTCTCAGAGAGGCTACAACTGTGATTGAGCTGCTTCAGCCTCGTCCATCAAAAAACAGAAAAGTGAAAGTTCCTTCCATCCAGATGGTAAGAAGCTGAGAGCCTCCCCTACCCCTGGACCTGACCCCACTTATTCCCCTCTACCCCCAACTTCTTGCAAGGAAAGAAGCCTGTGCTAGCCCTGGTCAGTGTTTGTTCTTGTTGGTCAGTGCTAAACTGTACTTTTGTTCACTATTTTTAATATCATTCCTGGCCACAGCTACACACTGGTCCTATTCTGTTCTCAGCTTAAATATACACCCTTACTTTTCTCCTGGGCAAATGTGGAATCTGTCCTCAGAAAAAGGAAACTTCCAGATCAGGAGGGGAGGCCCCCATTCCATTCCCGCCTCCCAGCTTCCCCTTTCTTCCCTGGAGGTCTCCCATAGAAAGACTGGTATCCTGGGGGTTCTGATGGCCCCTGTGGGTGGAGTCTCCACCCAAGGAGGTGATAAAAGGGGCACCCTTCAGTAGTCAGATATAGTTTTCTCCAAGGGCGTCAGAGTGAATGTGAAACTAGGGAGTGGGCTCAGTCTGACATGGGTAAGTCTGAAAAGCTCATTCACTGTTTAGCCTCCTTATCTTGGATTCCCCATCAACACCAGAGAAGACAAGCCCGATGCCTCAACCTGTATGAACACATGCCCTTGCGCATGCACACACACACACACACACACACACACAACTTAGATTGCACCCTTACCACCATTCCCAGACTGCTGGACAAACCAATTGGTTATATCTATCTCAGAGCACACTGGAGGAAAATGAATCCCCTTCTCTCTAAACATAATAGCAGTTTGCATTAATGGAGCTCTCCCCTTGTGTCAGGTACTGTGCTAAACTCTGGCCACAGATCATCTTATCTTACTTTCAGTGTGGGGTGTGTTATTATCCCCATTTGGCAGATGACAAAACCAAAGCTCAGAGGGTAAGGTCACATAGGAAACGTTGTACTGTTGAACAGTGATGGGACAGGGTTTCAAAGCCAGCAGGGAAGCCATGTTTGGAGTCACTACACTGTCTAGTAAAATTTTTTCTAGATCTCCCCTTCTTATCACTCTGGTAAAAGCATCTCTGACCCCAATGCACCCCCAGTTGGATATATGTGAGCTCCCCAAAAGATCACCAAAAACTCACCCTGCAAAGCAGCTGGGAGCCTTTGGCCCTGCTCAGAGGGGGAGACCAACAGGAAGCAGAGCCCATTCAAATATATGTTCTCTCTGCATGCATGATGTACAGTGGGGCCACAGGCCTGGGGACACAGAAGGCTAGTGGGAGCAGCTGTCCCTGTCCTGCCCACCCTCCTATCCCAGCACTTCTACCATCCACAAGATCACCAATCTCAGGAGTCCCAGGTCCCCACTCCTTCCCTCAGGACCCTTTTGTGACCCAGGGAAACTCACCAGCAACTTGGAGGGCTTGGTGGTGATTGCCAGGGACAGGCCTAAGGACATATTCACAGCCTCCGGAGGGACTAAGGAGACAGACACATGCATGTTCACCCTCAAGAACAGTAAGATATGGGTAGACATCCCCTCAACTTGGGAGACAAGGAGGTCTAACATGTGAAGGAGGCTTCCAGGTCTTGAAGGAGCTGAGGGAGTGCGGGGGTGCAATGGGCTGGAAGGTCTTGAGGGTGTAGGAACCTCCTGTCTGAGGTCGAGGGGCTGCAGACAGAGCTGAAGCCAGCCAATGGAACACCTGTGCTCTCCGCTGGTCCCAGAGCATTGGAGCCTGGTGCTGCATCCCAGGCAAGGGCAGTGACTCACCCTGCAGGTGGATGGGCTTACATGTGCCCCTGCTGTATTCACACTTATAGAGTCCACCTGTTTGGTTGTCAGCTTTTATCTCCTTGGGGGCTCCAACCACCACCCTATGGAGAGACAAAGAACACTGTAGTGAAGAGTGCCTGGCTGGGGCCTGACGGCCACTCCAGAAAGTTTGCTCTCCTCCCTGAGCCTCGATTTCATCTATAAAATGGAGATTAAGAACAATTTAAATTCTGCAAGGGCAGCACTTTTGTCTGACTCATTCTCTGTTATATACCCTGCTCCTGAAATATATAGTAGATGCTAAATAGATATTTGTTGAATGGCTGATTCCTATAAGGTTGTGGTGAGAACTAAATTAGTGCCCATCTATAACATCCATGCTAAAATGCCTGGCACTTAGTAAGTGCTCAATAAATGTTAGCTGTGATTATTGAAAAAGCAAGACAGTGGGGCAGGAAAAGGAAGTATTGGGGACTGATTTAGAGCAAGTTATACTCTGTGCTTTTCTAATTGTGTTGAAATTAATCCTAATGCTAAGTATAATTAAAAAGAACCAATAGAAATTTTAAAACAAGAATAAATAAATGAATTATTTAAAAAAAAAAAAAAAACAAGACAGTGTCTACTCTCAGACCAAACATTCATCACTAGGAAAAGTTGCCACACCCAATAGAGAGAAAGTATGCAAATAATGCCCTGGAGTGTGAGAAGGGGAAGGACAGGGCTCTGTGTGGGGAGAGGAGCTGATGAAAAAGCTAGAAGTCAGTCACTACCGGTCCTCACCAGGAGTTGGCATACTGGACTACGCTGTGTCCAAACCCAGCACTGTCCACACGGAAGGTTGTCACCTTCTCTGTGTCCAAGTTGAAGCCAAGAGATGAAGCTGATGAAGAGAGTGAGAAGAGAGCTTTGGAGAGAAGGGTCTTCCTCCTGCCTGACGACCACACCCAGATGCTCAGTCCCATCTTCCAGGGCCCCAACTTCCTGCTCTACTCTCTAGGTCCAATACCCCAGAGTCCCCTGGCCTCCTGGGCTCCTAGATTCATCTCACTTTTCTCTTTTGCACAGTATACAGATGGCTCTTCACCCATTGTTCCATTGTCAAGTTTCAATTCTCCAGTTCCACAGAGCAATACCCAAGCTCTAAATATAATCCTTCCCTACCCCTTACTTCTGAGGCTTCTATGAGGGAGAATCTAGGGAAACGTGGGGTCTGAAGGGGCACTATGGACACAGCACAAAATTGATTTCTTCTACTTCTGAATTGTCAATGTGGTTCACCTCTCTTCCAGCAGCAAATTCTCCCAAAATTGGTTCCTTAATATCCTTTCCCTCCACTAACTCCAGATCCCAAGCCCTACGTACCAACCTCCCCCTAGTGCCAAGTCTCTCCCCCTACTCAGACCCTGATCCCCACAGTTCAGGGGGCCTGGAGCACTCTGACCCAGGTTCCTGAGACCCCCTTCCTCAGGGCCCATGCTCACCCAGGAATAGCAGGAGGGCCGTCCATGTCCTGCTCATGACTGGAAGGTCAGCTGTTGGGCTCTGAGCTCCTGGGCTTGCTGAAGGCACCACTGGACAAAGGTACTGAGGAAGAAATGAGCAGAGAAGTGGTCAGGAGGCCAGAGGCATGGAGGGAAGTTGTCAGTATGACTCAGAGGTGGGGGAGGAAAATACAACTATCATGATCAGAAAAGGGAACCCAGGTAGCCCACGCATTGCTGATCAGGAGCTGTTCTGATCAGAGATGACCTGGCTCGCTTCTTTGGCTTGCCAGTTTTTACTTGGGTGAGTGCAAACCCCCGACCAGCCTCACCTCTCGCACTTCCCTTTTGCACTAACAGTGTGCTCCCCTTGATCTTGAAATATCTATCATCTCAGAGAGGAGAGAAGAACAATGTAGCCCTTCGGGAACTAATGGAAACTCTGGTGTAAACCCTTTACTTCTGACCAGGAAGCCTATAGGCCAAGGAGTAGATCATCTGGTCCCTAGGAGGAGCACAGAGTGGGCATTCATTCATTCCTTTGCTCATTTATTCATCATTTATTCAAAAAGCCTAATTTGAGGCCGATTATAAAAGTCTTTTGCTAGGTAGAAGAAAAAAAACATAAACCACAAGGCCCCCATTCTGGGGTCAGTGGAGAAAGCAAATGGGTAAATAGCAAAATGGTTGCTATGAGAGGGGAGTACGGAGACCACAGGGTGTCTTACCTGGGCTGGGAGGGTGTGAGTTTCCAAGAAGGCTTCTTGGAGGAGGCAGCACTCGAGTTGAACCTTGAAGGCAGCCTAAGTCAGGAGACTGCAAGTGGGGAGGAGGTGCTTCAGAAGGGGCATGAGGCAGAAGGGGCATGAGGCATGAGATAGAAGGGCATGTTTGAGAAACTGATGATGGGAACGATGAACGTGGGAGGTCAGAAGTGACAAGAGATGAGATCAGGGCCTTGGGGAGTTGACAAAGGGGAAGCAGGGCCTTTAAGACATGTTATTTTGGTCCTGCCGGCAGGGGGGGAAATTAAAAGGAATTAGTGAGGACTGGGATCTTCACTTCCTGCAAGTGGGTGTGTGGATCTGAGTCTTAGGAGGAAAGCCTGGTTTGGAGGTATCTTTTGGACCCAACTGCAGAATTGCTGGGGTAGGTCCTGGTGAGAGTGTGAAGAAGGAGGAGAAAGATGGGTCTGGGGTGAATCCCAGGGAATTGCCAGTGTTGGCAGCAGAGCAGGAACCCACAAAGTGGGAAGAGGGATCCTCAAAGAGGGAGAGGAAAGCACGGGGCAAGAAGAGCATCATCCAGGAGAGCTGGAGAAAAGGGGCTCAAACACGGTCACAGGTTGCTAAACATCCAATGATTCTGTTGGTTCTGGCAACAGACACCATCAGTGACCCTGGCGTGAACCATGCCAGGGTAGAAGGAAGTAGTAACAGAAAAACCTGCTAAATAAAAGATGGGGGCTGGGGTTGTGGCTCAGCGGTAGAGCAATCAGACCCTAGGTTCGATCCTCAGCACTACATAAAAATAAATAAACAAGGGGCTGGGGATGTGGCTCAAGCCTGGCATGCGCAGGGCGCTGGGTTCAATCCTCAGCACCTCATAAAATAAAAATAAAGATGCTGTGTGCACCAAAAACTGAAAAATAAATATTTAAAAAATTTTCTTTCTCTTCTCTCTCTTAAAAAAAATAAAAATAAAAATAAATAAATAAACAAAATAAAGATATTGTGCCCATGTATAACTAAAAAAATATTGTTTAAAAAAGGTGTGTGGGAGGGAAGTGGTCCAAGATCTGGATAAAGCTAGTCTTCCGGACAGAGTGAATGCCAAAGAGGCCTCGGCCCTCCAAGATAACACAAATTCCGACCTTTTTCTTGCTCCCTTTCCTCAAGATTTGGCTTTACCCTTAGTGGGTGAGGGAAGTGACAAGAATACTGGAAGAATAAGACCACACTTCTTCTCTCAAGCCACCCAACATGCTTCTGTAATACTTGAGGCTGATTTGAGGTGAATTCTAACCAGAGAAAAACCAAAGTAAGATAGCTCACTTTTGCCAAGGACAACTTCAGATCATTAAAGTGCAGAACACAAAGTGTTCTTAATATAACCCATCCATTTTACAGATGAGAACAGTGAGGCTCCTGCCAGGACCTTAGGGTATTGCAACTTACAGCCTTATTTCAGTGCATCATGACTGTGACATTTCTTTTCCAAAGGGCAGGAACTGAGGGGATGGCATAAGCAGAAAGGGGCAGAGGTGCTGCCCATCTCCTCAGCCCAGTGAGACTATGAGTCAGCCAAAGCCAGCTCTCTCTGTCTGGCACCCCTGTGTGCACAGAGCCCAGACCAAACCTGTGGCAAGAGATCAAAGCCACACAGAGGGTATGGGAGAGTTTGAAGAGCAGCCATTTGGAGAGTTTGGCATTCCCTACTCAATAATTTTCTGCTACATCCTTGAGCTCAGAGGTGCTGAAGAAGGTTCCAGCAGGGTGAAAGGCAGGAAGGGCTTCATCTGATCTGGCATATATGTGTCATAGTGTAAAGAGTGGAGAAACCACATCAGAAGCAGAAGCTTCTTATTTGGTAAGTCTCCCAGGGAGATTCTTGCGGGTGGGGAGATAGAGTATTTTGATGTGCCAAGTGTTGGGGTAGGGACTGTAGGCTTTCTCCAAAGTAGGTTCTGTGTCCAAATTAATTCTGTGTCCAAATTAATATCTGCTGTCTACTGGGTGGGAAAAAGAGAACAGAAACCTTGTGGGAAGAAGCCCTAGGGTTGGATTTCTCAGTCCGTTTCCATCTTATGCTGACCCACGCAGCCTGACTGGACCCACCCCACAACTGCTATCCTTCGTCTTGCCACATGCAATCTGTCTTTGAAGGAAAAAACGCTGTCTAGCCCAGGATTTTCTTTAAAAAGAATTTATTTTAATTCTATCTATAGAGTAGAAACATACACATACATAGGAATTCATAAAGAGGATCCTTTCCAAAAGCACCTGGTTCTTCCTGCACTCCTGGGCATAGAATTCTGGAGGGATGCTTTAGGAGTGCTAGAGGACTTTAGCCAATGGTTAGAAAGCTTGGACCATGAAAGGGAAAAGCAAGCATAGGGTAATAACATCTCTATGGCAGAACAAAGGAGCTGTCATAATACTTAACATTTATCTCTCTCTCCACTTTCTATTAGCTCACTGAATTCTCACAGTAGTCCTGTAAAGGAGTCTATCATCCCCATACCACAGATGCAGAATGGAAGCCCAGAGAAGTTGAGTCCTTTTCCTTGGGTCACCTGGCTAGTACAAGCCAAGGATAGAATTTACGGTGCTGAAGTCTTAACCACAGACTGCTAATGATTTTACTTTCTGCTCTCTACACAACTTCACTCATTCATCCATCACACACACACACACACACACACACACACACACACACACACACACACACTGATCACAAGACCCAAGCTCTCGCCATCTAGTATGGGAAACAAGGCAAACATAAAAGGGTCCCAGCTGACAAGATTGCACCCTAGAAGACGACATCTTGGAAGTTTTATTAAGTAGCAGAATGACCCAAAAGAGGAAGTAGTCATCTCTTATTTGGTAAGTCTCCCGGGGAGATTCTTGGGGGGTGGGGAGATGGAATATTTTGATGTGCCAAGTGTTGGGGTAGGAACTATAGGCTTTCTCCATTGTTCTGTGTTGTAAACCTTCTATCTACCCCCAGCTCTCAGCACAGTGTTTGACAATAAGAGGCACACAGTTAATCCTTGGTGCATGAATGAATTTCATGAATGACAGAATGTTACTCAGGAAAAGGAATAGGACACACACACACACACACACACACAGGGGATTTAATAATTCCTGTCTCTTCACTTTTGCAGCTCAGTTATGTGTATTTGCTACTATTTGTTGTGGCAATTGATATAACCCAATCTTATTTTTAAAAAATTTTTAATTTTTAAAAATGTTTTAAATTGGCACAAAAGTTTGTTTATGGGCAACCATGTGATATTTTTCCATGTGTACATTGTGTCATGTTCAAATAAGGGAAAATATATCTATCTCAAATATTTATCATTTCTGTACAGTGAAAACATTCAAAATCCTTTCTTCTAGCTTTTAAAAAATATACCATCATCATTATCTATGGTTACCCTGTTGCAGGATACAACACCAGAACCTATTCTGCCTGTCTAAGGAGAAGGTAGTACCTGTTGTTCAACCTTCCCCATTCCTCCCTATCCCCTTCCCTCTCCAGCCTCTGTGAACCACTGTATCTCAACTTCTATGAGATAATGTTCTTTGGATTCCATGAACCATGAAACCATGAGACCATGCAGTACACATCTTTCTGTGTCTGTCTTATTTCACCTAAAATAATCATCTCCAGTTTTATCCATACTGTCACAAATGACAGGACTTCATCCTTTTATGGCAGTCCATTATGCACACATAACACATTTTCTTCATCCATTCTTCAGTTGATGAACACTCAGGTGGCTTCATTTCTTGGCTACTGTGAATAGTGCTATAATAAACATGAGAGAGCAGATGTCTCTTCAACATACCAATTTCATTTCCTTTGGATATATTTCCAGTAATGGAATTGCTGGATCATATGGTAATTCTAATTTCTTTTTTTTTAAGAGAGAGAGAGAATTTTAATATTTATTTTTTAGTTTTCAGCGGACACAACATCTTTGTTTGTATGTGGTGCTGAAGATCGAACCCCGGCCCCGAATGCATGCCAGGCGAGCGCGCTACCGCTTGAGCCACACTCCCTAGCCCTCATATGGTAATTCTATTTTTAATTTTTTAGGAACCATAATACTATTTTAAATTGTTGTCCTGATTTTTATCTGCACCAACTGTGTTTCTTTTTCTCCATATTCTCACCAACACTTGTTGTTATCTTTTGTCTTTGACAACAACCATTTTAACTGGAGTGAGGGTGATATTTCATTGTGGTTTTTATTAGCATTTCCCTGATAATAATGATGATGATCATTTTTATATACCTCTTGGCCATTTTTATATCTTCTTTTAAGAAATATCAATTTGGCTCCATTGTCCAAATAGATTTACTTATTAATCAGATTGAGTTCTTTGTCCATTCTGGCAATTAACTCTTTATCAGAATGGACATTTCATAGATTGTATCTTCACTCTGTTGACTATTTCCTTTGTTGTACAGAATTTTTTAGTTTGAAGTAATCCCTTTAGTCTATTTTTATTTTATTTTATGTGCTTCTGAGGTCTTATCAAAAAAAAATCCTTGCCTATCTCAATGTACTGAAGGTTTTCACATATGTTTTCTTCTAGTAGTTGTATAGTTTCAGGGCTTATATTAATGTCTTTTATATATATATTGAGTTGATTTGTGTGTGTGGTGAGAGAGGGAGATCTAGTTTCATTCTTCTGCATATGCATATCCACTTTTCCCAACTGCACTTATTGAAGATACTGTCCTCCATTGCATGTTCTTAGCGCCTCTATTGAAGATCAGTTGGCTACAGATGTGTGGGTTCATTTCTAATCTCTCTAGATCATATAATGCCTCCTGCTTTGTTCTTGTTCAAGATTGCTTTGGTTTTCAGGAGTTTTGTGGTTTCTTTTTTTTTTTTTTTTTTTTTTTTTAAAGAGAGAGTGAGAGAGATAGAGGTAGAGAGAGAGAGAGAATTTTTTAATATTTATTTTTTAGTATTTGGCGGACACAACATCTTTGTTTGTATGTGGTGCTGAGGATCGAACCCGGGCCGCACGCATGCCAGGCGAGCGCGCTACCGCTTGAGCCACATCCCAGCCCCTTGTGGTTTCTTATTAACCATATCACATCTCTAATTTCTTTGAGTAGTATGGACATTTTAAGAATATTAATTCTTCCAAACT